TAAGGGTTCCAGGGTCCCAGCGGCACATCCCCACCCAGAAATTCCCAAAGTACCCCCCCCCCGGTCCAGTGGGTAAGTGAAATTAGTCTATGTTGGTAGTCTTGTTAGTGATAATTTCCAATTTAAAAAACAATTTCAAAACTTGTGACTGCAAGATGAGCAAGACAATGAGTTGAAAGCATGGATCAATTTAAAATCCAATTATACTTTGCTTGCCTTCGTTCTGCACCTGTTGGGCAAGTAGTATTTTAGTGGTGGCAAGTGAAAACTGAAATGTATTGGCCCACTGGGCAAGTGGCTTTTGAAATTATTTTCCTGCCTTGAAGGTTTTGGGTGATCTTCAGCTATCTTTGAAATATGTCACATGGCCGTTGGTTGTCTTCTGACTTGAAGTCAAGGGGAAGTTTTTAGTGGATAAGGTCTTAAATCACAATTCACAGCTGCTTTAGCTGTAAGTTGTTAAGCTTTCATTAAAATTTGAAGTCACAATTCTGGACAGAAAGTTAAGTCATTTTACAGTACAACCATTGTGTCTTAATGAATGGGGGGCATTTTAATAACCTGGGAGAAAGAGGTTCTCCTTGGGGGAGTGCTGCATGCTGTACATCATTTTCTATAACCATTTGGAGTGTTGAATATCCAAGGGTATTATACACTATGGATAAGAACCAGTTGAATTTTTTGGGTTTTTTTGCAATTTTTTTCCTGAGGTTTCTCAAGACATTACTTCCTTCATGTTTAATTCATAAGTTTTCTTCAGAGGTTGATTTCATTCAAAGAAATCCACAGGATTTTTTTACAGGTTCTAAATTTTGCATATGTAGCCCTGCAAAATGTACTGTAGTGTATACTGTGCTGCATTTCTGTGTCACAGGATAATTCACAGGTTTTTCACTTGTGTCAAGACCTTGTGTGACCTGGCTAATGAAAGTGTTAATTTATCATATCATGTGTACTAAAGGCATCCCAGTTGAGTGTCGATCGATCCCCTTGATTGACCCTCGATTGCTACTTGATTGACACTCCATCGACACCTCAGTTGACAATCGATCTCCATCGACATCTCGGTCAAGAGTCAACCAAATTTCAATTGATTCATATAAGTCCGCCGACTATGGACGGACTGTTGATCAAGTGTCGATAGAATGTCAACCAAGTATTGATCGGGATGTCGATGGAGTATTGATCGAGATATTGATTGAGGGTATCAGTTGAGAGTATCGATTGACACTCAACCACGGACCCCTTAAGTACACGTAATCCAAGTTATGTAATGCATGGTGTTTTTCAGTTAAATATATTTCTTGCTCTCCCTTTTTGTTTGAAAATGAAAGGCCTTAGAACAAGTTATAAAAATGCAATCCCATCAATGGCCCTTGGATCAGGGACAATTAATAGTGGGTACTGGTGTTTTTACTTTTCAGCTGGGACTGCGGAAGCAAAGGTCAACAGGGAAGGTGAAGCTAGATAAAGTGTACACATCAGGCCGATACTTGATTGGTCCAGATTATACATTCAAAACATTTAGTGCTGATGCTCATTACGAGGAGCTCAAGAAGATTGTGACATTCTCTAAAGACAAGGTGGAAGTGGAGATCACTTGTGCCATGCAGTACTTCCTTCGTCCAGAAGACCTGAAGGATATGCACCAAGAGTATGACTTATACTACAGGTTAGGCCTGTTATTTGGTTTTACTTTCCTACGTGATTCAACGCACACTTTCAAAAATAATTGTTTCACCCCTTCTCCTAGATGTTAACTAACGTTGTTCCACTATCTGTTTATTAAATTACAGCAACATGCATAATTGTGTGCAATGTTGATCTCATGCCTTATTGACTTCATGCAACAAGTTGCTACAACTTAAATGTAGTTGGCCAAATTTGTACACCACCATTTTTCAAATAGCAATTCATTGCATTGTTGCATGACAAGTTGAAGGGAAAATTTTGCCAGTATAATACATTCTTTAACTGTGTGTGTTTTCAACTGTGCGTACCTTATTCATTTATTTATTTGCTTATTTATATATCCTAGAATAATATATCGCCTAGCATTATAGACATGCAATGCATGCAGAGGACTTTAAGAACTACACCTGTTACAAGCTTGTTAGGTTACTGGGTTTTGTTTCAAAGGAGAAATAATTTTTTTGAGCTCTTACAACTTTTAACATCTTTCTGACAAGCATGCAGGAATATATTTTATCCCTCACTGTTTCACAGCAAATAGCACTGGTAAGAGATTAACTGTTGACAAGTGATTGGGTAATAACTTACCAGTGTTGCAACATATTCTTACCAGGCCTGTAGTGCGGACAACAGCTAATGCAGCCATCAAGGGTGAAGCATCCAAGCTGTCTGTGTCACAGTTTATAAGAGACAGGGAGACTGTGGAGCAGGAACTATTCAAGGCACTTAAAGCAAGACTTGAAGGTTTGGATGTAAATCACTAAGTGGGCAGCTGTAGGGGGCGCAAGGGGATGCTAGGGTGTATTTGTGATGAGAGGTGTGAATGAGACCAAAATTTGTGTTTGACACTAAAAGAGAGCTGTTGGTTTTGCTTTTTATTGACCCTTAAAATGTCATACTTCAATCTTTCACCCAAAAAAGGTTGTGTCAATTCTCTATCTCAAAATAGATTGCAGATTTCAAACTCCTAAAAGGCCTTTGCACCTACCTGGCACTATCACACCTCGGTCTCTTTCCCTCACTCCCTCCCTCCCTCCCTCCCTCCCTTCTTCGCTCCCTCCCCCCACACCCTATGCTTGGCTTAAACTTGATTTTTAAGGAGCAATGGAACAAGCTATAAGTTCCATACTGGCCAACTTTCAAGTGATTTTGGAACAAGTTATACCCTGATAAAGACACTGTTCCCTGAGAAACTCCCACAAAATGTCTTGAATCTGTGCAGCATGGTTGAAATTCATACTTCCAAAATCAATAGCAAAAAATGCTGTCAATTCATTGTCAGTTTTATACCCGACACAGTGTCTTAAGTAACCAAAATTGATAAACCTGTAAGTTGCCTGAGCCATATCCATCTACTGTCCTTCACAGTTAATCTTACATTAGGAATGCAAAGAATGGTTACACAGGAATGTCTTACGCAGGAATGCACCCAAACTCACAACATAACCTCGTGTCCACATGACTTTGGTCATGTGGACAGAGGGTAAAAATGAATGGGTTTGTTCTCCTTCAAAAATATGCCTACCCAAAAACCCATTCACCCTTCATTGGAGGCATAAAGATCTCGTGAAAAAAAAATGACTACACTAAGTAACCCGTTTGAAAAAATAGAGATACATTCAAATTCATTTCCTTGTGAGGACTTTGCAGTGTACTGCTTTACAAACCACTTGACATAGCAATATTAATTTTTTTTTTCCATATTCAAATGTGGGGGTTTACCCTACCATAATAATCTGAAGAAGCACTTCTAAGTGGGTCTTTAAATAAGAGGAAGTACGTCCAGAAAAACATTCTACAATCAAAAAGTTTATTAATTTGAGGAGCAGTGAACACAGTGAACTGTTTGGTTCTGTTTTCTTTTTTAACAGGGACCTGCTGCCGTAAAGACTGTGAGACATACAAGTGTACTCCTGGATGTGTTGAACATTCAAGATGTAACACAACCCAGAAAGGACTGTTTGTAGAAGTCAGATACTTTCAGTTCCTGGACTTTGACATTCACTCTGATGTCAAGAGCAGGTATCTACGGCAGGTTACTGAGCGAGAACAGGAGGAGCAGGCTCAGTATGAACTAGAGGAGAAGGTAAGCAGTATGTCAGTCTACTTACTACTGTGATACTTAACACAGAAAGCACCAGTAGCACAATAATATTGTTAGTCAGGGTTGCTATTAACACAGAAGCACAATTTCAATGTGTTGTTACAGAAAATATCCATACCTCCCCCACAGAAGGAATTTCTTCTAAGACCCTCACCCCTCTGGAAATTCCAATTTTAAAAGGTTCATACATTTCTTTAAATATTTTGGTCTTACAGAACCCCCACCCCCCAGGAAACTCCAATCCTTTTTTGGGGGGGAGTATGAATATTTTCTGGAACTGCACAATGTTATGTGTGTTAATTTGGAGGATATTGTAGAAATTCAGCAGAATCACAAGACCTAGTGTGTAAAGCCAGATTTAAAATGGATTGATTCAGTTGGTGACACACTTAACAGCTGTCATTAAATGCACTCTTCACCCAGTCCCATCCAAACTCTACCTTATAAGTGTCTCAAATTTTTGAATTTCTTTACCATTAAGGCAAATGTTAAGTCAGTCTCCAACTAAAAGCATACCCATCATATACCATACTGTAAAGTCTGCATACGAGCCAAGTGGCCCATCAGGCCGCAGCTTATCCCTGTTTCCGTAGCATGAAGCGACTAGGAGTATTTCTACTCCCCCTGGATGGGATGCTAGTCCATCGCAGGATTACCCCCAGTATTAAAGTTACCGATATTTATACACCTGGGTGGAGAGAAGCACTATGAGGGTAAAGTGTTTTGCCCAAGAACACAACACAAAGTCCCTGCACTCGGGCTGCTCGATCTGGAGATGATTGCACTAACCATGAGGCCACCACGCCTCCACTTCATACCCTGTAGTTGCATATAAATTTACAAACTGTTATCCACCAAGTTTATCAGCTTGAATTTGGTCTACCACTGCTCTGAAGTCTTGATTGGTTCACTGGATTGTCTGTGTTCTTTTTGATTGGCTAGACATTTTCATTTCAGTATTCACACTTAGGAATCAAAACCCAGAAGTGGCATTTGACCCCTGTTAAGACAAACTAAGTTTTAAAAAGCCTCTGATTTAAAGAAAATGTTTTCCATTACATTTGCCTGTCTTGCCTATCGCAAATGTCTGGTTTGGTGAAGAGGTACAATGATTTTCAGCCCCAGGGGTCAGGTGTTGCAGCCATATCAAAAATTGAGTAAGCCACCCCAGCACAATCTACTGTACATCTTGCTCCTTTGTAGGTTGTACGTAAAGAAACTGAACGTCTCAAGAATGAAATCAACAATGCTGCCATGGAAATCACACAGAATGCCACAGCTGAAGCCACGATCATTCGTGCTAAAGCGCATGCTGAGGCACTTCTGACGGTGGAGAAGGCACGTGATACAGGCCTGTCCTACATTTACCAACAGCTGAATATCACAAAGGAAGAACACAAATCTTCTTTCAACTATTTGCGCACACTTCGAGGACAGAAAAATGCCAAATTCAATGTTGGCTACAACACTCTTATGGCAAAGAACTGAACTGTGATATAATTGTTCTTAGCTAAACTTAGATGTTTACATAAACCCGTTGAGATGTAATTCATAAATGTTAACAAAGAAATTAAAACATGTCTGAACAAGCTGCACATGCAGACATTAACATCAGATTTTGTCACTGACACTCAGGAAAAAAAAAAATCCTTTTCTTCTTAACAAAGTTACAATGTAAGCCATAGCCACATCTTATATGATGTATATATGGGTGTAACCCCCTCCTCCTCCTGGCAACCTCCCCATTTGAATGCATTCAACTGAATCTGGATTCCAGCACACTAACCAACAGGCTCCCGTGCACACATATCAGATGATACTTGTATAAATGCTCCTTTAAAACAGTTGATTAAAGGCATAGGATACAGTAAACAACTTTATTGAATTGCACACATTGATGGTATTACAACAATGGTTTAATGTTGATGGCAAACTTTTTAACAACGAGAAAACCATGAGAAAAAAAAAAAACTAATAGTAAACAATAGCAAACAGGCCTATGCACCACCTGGAGTGATGAACCTTAGAAGGTGATAACGAGCAGTGTAATTAAGTGCATGTCACACAGCATAGCAAATACGCAGTCTTCATGTAGCCAGTGCTGACTGACAGAAAGAGCTGGACTGTAATAAACCTAACAAGATGAACTTAAGATCTTAACTAAAGTTCTCGAGACATTTACTCAAAGTTGTCAGTTGTTTGTTCAACATCATGTTCTGTTCCCTACAAACATGTGTCTACCCAAAACCACCAATAAGAACAAGTTGGTATTCTTTGCAGATTAGCTTCCTGTATATTGGAAGGTCACACTTGCGTACATTAAAACAATAGCCTTGTTTAGCAATTTGTCCCAAACTTACTAGGTAAATTAAGTGAACTGCTGCATGGGTTAGGCCATGACATTTTGGCAACATTCTCTCAGATTGTCTCAGAATGCTTGTCCAAAGGTTTTTATTCTTAATTTTGAGAATTTGATTATGATGTCTCTCTCTCCTAACAAGTAGGATAAGCCTTTCACTCCAAATTTTTGAAAAATAATTCTGAATTTCATTCTTCAACATGATGAAAGCAAAATAGTACCACATAAAAAATACTACTCGGTAGCGTTCACTTGAATCGTGAAACATTTTCGTTTCATTCACAGACATTGGACCGTATCACACAGTGACAGAGTAACAAAACACTAGACAGTTTCTGTCAATCTGAAAGATATATCAAGTGGACATTTTTGCGATGTGCCAGTCAAACAAAGCTGGGCTAATTGGCTTTGTGGCGTTTCATTTGTGTGTTGCCATTGATTGAATCAAATCATTATTTACAGATTTTATTAATGTTGAAGACTAGTTTTTGGGTAACACAGTCGTCCAAAATGACATGGTCTAGCCCGTAAGGGTTTAACTAGAGGAACTTTCTGTAGTAACGCTTATGTTTCACTCCACTATGCTTAGCAAGATCAGTCTACAATGGACAGATTTGATATTAGTGTCCACATGTTAAGACCTACACTACTACAATCAACTTGAATAAGTCTAATATGATTTTCAAATCTAATGCTTTCTACAGATAGTTGCTAGCAAAGTGGCTTGTACGATCATTCATGCAATCACTCAGTTTAAAATTTAAAAGAAGAGATTTTACAACAGCAAAGCCTGGAATTATGTCAATCTAGAAACCATGCAATAATTCACCTTAATGAGACTGAATAACAGAAATCTTCTAGTTACTTATCCTGCTGGTAAAACCAAACCTTGTGACCACTTCATAGCATGATTGTAAAATTTCATAGTTATGCTTATAACTATGCAACTTAAACAATGCGGTCCAACGTGATTGAGACTATCAGGGCTTGACCCAGTCTCTGATCAATGCAATGACTAGGTGTTCTTCTGCTGCCCCTGGATTTTATGCTACTGCTTTGTGGGGTATTCTACAGTACTTTGCAAACTTGAATTTTGCTGCTAACCATTTATACTCCCGAGTGAGGAGAGGCACTGTGAAAGTAAAGTGGCTTGCCCAAAAAAACACAACACAAAACCCTGGTCAGGGCTTAAAGGAGCTATGTCATGCTTTCGCATCTTGAAAAGATTAGCCCAACTTTTTCAAATTTGTTCTTTGCAATCTGTGTTAATCTTCTCCATCCTTAACCATCCTTGTTCCTTTATGGTTTATTAATATCTCTTTGGTGTTTCTCTTGGTTAACCACTATTTTCAGCTTTCCTTCAATTTAAAGGTTATTTTGTATGTGACCAAAATAACTCAAAATACTGTGATAGAGTTCCTTTAAACTCAGACTGCTTAGACCACAGTTTACTGCATTAACCAACAAGCCACTCTGCCTGCCACGACAAGAAAAAAAAAGAGAAATCAAAGAAAAGCGTGAAAAATGAAATGTGAAAATTGACGATGGTTAAAATGCTTGTAATATACCCTAGAATACATTCTAGCTACAATGTACATGTAAATATTATTTAGCAAACTACAAATACTTTTAATTAAAAGCTATCAATCTATGAACTACATAAAATCACACAAGGTCCCTAACAACAACATTACCAACATCCCCTAATACTTGTAACTACGTTACCAACATGAAGGGGATTCTAAGACCTGACTGAATGTGAAATTAGTAGAAATCTAAGTGTACGACTGCTGGGTTTTTAGAAAGGAGTTTAGCTCGGTTGTTAGGTAAGTCAACTTGCAATAGAGGTGGTCAGTGTCATAACAAGAAATGTTTAACAGTTAGAAACTTTTTGCAGCATCAACCATCACTGTCAAGTTGGTGAAATGCCAAAGAAATATTGTACACTTTCTTTGTGTCACAGTTTCTGATGGCTATCTCCATGAGTCAAAGCTGTTTTTGAAGATGTTGTGCTGATGACACTTCCCCAGTTGGTAATGAAATCCAAGAGTTAACCAAAGGCGTATGTGTATATACAAGTAATAATCGGAATCCCCTTAAAAAAGAAATATTAGTGTCATGTTTCTGACAATGCTTCAGAACACTTCTGTAAAACCCCTTTATGGTGATGAAGGCTTCTTCAATAATTAAATGCATATAGTACAACAATCTAACAAATAAAATGTCAACAACTTTTCAAGTTGCATTTCAGTCGGTACCTACAGCTGGTGATCTATGGAATGATTATATAGTTCATTTTTATAGTTCTTAGTTCACAAAAAATCTCCACATTCAAGAGCTCTTAGGAGTTCCTCCCCCTGAAGAAGCGTATTCTGAACTGGAGCATTGAGCTCGGCTTCCCACGATGTGAGGCTTGGAAAGAATGCCTTCCCTTTGGACACGACTTCATTTGTCACATAACCATTTCGTTTCACAGCTGTGGGTATGCCTTTCCGTGATGTGACTGGTGAAGACGAGTTGGAGAAACTTGGTGGGCGGGTGTAAGGAACAGTGGGTCTGCCTGTTGGTGGTGGTGTCATAGATACACTTCCTGGAGAAGGAATGCTCTCCTCTGCATTAAGCAGCCATGACGATGGTGTCATTGGTGAATCAATGAAAGGAATTTCAACTAGTAAGTCGTCGTCGCAGTCCAATCCTGAGTCGACTATTGACAAAGGAATGAATGGTGCACGCTCATCAAAGTTTTCTTCTTCCTCTTGCGCCTCTTTCTCTTTGTCTGCACTAATCTTTTGGTCGTCACTTGGTGAAGGAATGTACGGTGTTCTGTTATCAGTGGTGCTGCCTCCTGGAGTAGAGGGCTGAGAAGAGTCGATGAGGCCATAATGGCTGTGCAGCATGTTTTCATATTTTTGCTGTTGTGTGATAACTTCTTCATTGGTGTCCCATGCTACAGGCAGGCAGTCCTGATAAACATAATATCAGGTTAGTAAATGTTGTGTTAATTTTCACTTTGCAAGTCTTGTGAAACTAAACCCATATTAAAGGGCCCTAGTCAGCCACACCTTTGCTTTTGTTTACGTGTGAGAGTTTGACTATTATATTTATATGAAGCATGTCAAAATGAAGGAAATCACCGTGAAACTATTAATTAAAGATAATTAAACATACTTGCAGGAACACAATTTACAGTAAAGCAACAGGATTTCACTTCACCATGCAATATCAATAATTTTGATGGTATTGCACTTCTAACATGTTGGTGGTATCTGACCTTTTTGGCAACCTTAGCAAAGTCATCAATGGAGTCAAGTGAAAATATGTTTGCTGACGTCTAATCAGCTCATCACACTTGACTGTACTGGTATTCTTGGGTTCAAGCCTATTACTTCAGTGCAGCACCAAGCATGCAAGGTGAAAATGCTCCTTTAAATTTTCCCCCATATTTTTGTGAGCATATGCAAAGGTTTTTGAAAATGTACATGTACACATACTTGAAAATTCATGTGCTCGCAGTCAACATCCTCCAGACACTGACAAGACTTCTTAGCAATGGATTTTGATGGCGCCCTCAAACAGCATGCGTCAAGGTTGGTCTCCTTCTTTGGAACGATATCTCCACTGGGACGCTGTTCATGTGCGGTGGCCTTGAGCAGCTTAGTGCGTTCTTCTAACACAATGGAGTGTTTTCTCCTTGTCCCCCTGCCTTTCACATTTTCTTTTTTCACCACTAAGTCCAGTCCCAGTGGAGCAGGCACTGGGTTCAATTGCTCTGAGGACAGAATGTAATCCTGCTTGTCCGTTCTCCTAAAGAAAGAAAGACACAAATCAAAGAAAGGCTCAGTCATGTTCCTAAGAATAAGAAAACAATAATTGTGGATTATGGAGTACCTCTAAGCTAAGAAAAAAATGAAGCTCAGCTGGCTTTCTACGGGGTGGTGAATAGTGCTTCAAAAACAATGGGTCTCACAAAATTTTCATTCAATTTCATGGGTCTTGTAGTCTTGATTTCTTCACAAAGCTGTCTCGGAGACTCAATTTTTTTTGCAAGGCTTTGCAAGTCTTGAAGTTTGATTTGTTAGTTTGTTTTTATAAATGGTATCTCAGTCTTGCAATTTGAGAAGTCAAAATGTCTTGTGCTGGCTGAGACAAATCATAGTCTCATCTCGCAAAGTCTCACATTTATCATTCAACACCTGTCTTGTAAGGTTACGTCAGGTGTTAGTTTTCTTTTAGCTGGCAATAAGCTCTTGGTCAGTGAACGTAGCTAGCAGGAACTGCTTAGCTGCATGCCTGTCTCTACTAATTCCAAAATACAATAGAACTTACATGATGATGTAATTTGTGCACAGCACAAATTGTGGCTGGCATGTTTTGCTGTCGTAAACTATATTGGCTTTGGTCTGTAGCCACACCCAGCCTCCATTGCGCACCAAGAAGCGGTAGTACTTGCTTACTGACTGTCCCTTGGTGAGCACTGTGAAACAAGTTGAAAGGAAACTCACCAGTTAATAACAGACACTTCCATGTTACAAAAAGAATGTTCCTTGGCTGATGTCATCTTTCAATAGTTTTCTTTGCCAAACAGGCTGTTCCTTTTGCACAGGTTGCAGTGTAGCATATTTCAATAGCTGACTTCTTCCCGGGCAACTTTAACTTTCACTACACAATCCTACAGTTTCTCAAGAACTTTTGTATAAAGTTCATTTATTTACTGATATTCTTTTATGCATATTCCGTCACCACACAAAGTTAAAAGTACCACTATAAACTCTGTTCAAAACTTGAGCCCATCCAAGCTCTTGGGCACAAACTGTGGTTACCGGTATATGAATGGCATCCAGCCTTACTTTACAGGGAACAAAAGAAACATACACCTTTTACTTACATGTCTTGTGGCATGTTAGTGCAGTGTCCAGGTCACAAGCATGTTGGAAATGGTACCAAGACTTGCCGACAATCTCTGCAGGCGTGAAACCAAGCAGGTCTGCAACACTGTTAAAGAACATAACTTGTGTGAAATTTTGGATTGTGCTTTCACATAAAGTAGGCCAAGTCATTTGGAGTTCTTATCTGGAATGACAATACACTGGAACCCTTCCTTACGGCCACCCAGTTTATATGGCCACCTCGTTATTCCAGCCACCTTATTCTGGCCCAAACAAAAGCTAAGTGAGTCATTTTCTTATTTAAAGAACCGCTTCAATCGTGGCCCATTGGTGACTGGATTAATGGGGTTCCACTGTACAGTGTAGAAGAAGGCATTTACCAGAATTTTTTTTACCAACCTTTCATCACATGACAGGAAATTCATGTCAAGGCTGTGACGACTGGTGAATGTTGCTCTGTCCAGTGGAACCTCAAACGTGGAGCTGAACATCAGCGGTACTCCAATGCCTACCAAAAACATTGGCACTTGCTCCTCCTCACCATTTTCTGAGACTCTGACCTGCATTTTCATGCAGCCTGTACAGTGAACCACCTTGAAGAACAAAATCAATCTTAAATTAACTCAAAAGTCATGAGCTCTAACCATAACATACATATCTGTATATCTTTTAAGTCAAAAGGCACATGGGACCATTCAAGCTGGTCCTAGCTTGCAAGTCTCTGAAACCTTAGTGTGTGACCATTCAAATGAAAGCTATTGAGCACTACTTTTGTGAAGTACCTTTTTTATGTCTACCTTTTATGAGAAAAAGTTTGCCTACTGGTGTACAGCACCAAGGTTTAACTTCACATTGCTGTAACAATACTGCAGATTAATCCAGTTTTTAGTCTTACCCTGTAGGTTGATGCTCGGAGGTTCACGTTCTTCCCCCTGCTTGTCAAAGTGCTTTTCATGCGCAGGAAGAATGACTTGTGTGGATTCTCATGAACAACATTTTTTGATCCTCCCTTGAGGTGGTTGCTCATCATGAACACGGAATCGGAGCAGAAAAGGCCATCAAAGATTTCCATGTCTTCCAGTGGAATCTGCCCTCCAAGCTGATTGGATAGCTCTTCATGATCACAAGGGTGAATGTATTTGTAGAAACTGTTACCAGTTACTTCAATCTTTTAAGAAAGAAACACAATAATATGGTATCAGGTTTTAGCCGTATTAGTATTAAATACAAAATATATTCACTTGCATTTTTCACTATCTACAGGTATATCACAAATTCACAATGTAACCAGCTCCCACGTGTTTTGATAGCTCAGTTGGTAGAGCACTGCACCTGCAGTATAGCAGAGGTCATGGGTTTGAATCCAGTCCCAGCCTGAATTTTTCTCAAGGCCTTGTTTTCACAACTTCTTAAGTTGTGTGCATAACTGCGATGGCCATGTCTTTACAATAATTGTATATTGATTGCATAGGTTTGGTATTTACCTGTGTGAGACCCATGTAGTGGTTGATATTGTCTGACACATAAATGCACTGGCCATCAGGTGTTACCACAAAGACAAAGCCATCCAATGCCTGTTAGAGTCAAAGAAAACATTTGTAAATTCTGACAAAAGCTCTGGAATTTCTTTGATCTTATTCAAATGTGTTTTTTTAGGGGGGTGGGGGCTTTTGGGTGGAATAGTAACCTAATGGCTGTTCCAGATTTAAGGCCTGTTTGGGGTCATTTGGGTAATAATTTGTGTTGTATTTGTGGTGTACAAATGGGTACTGGAAAATTGCTGGGGTTGACCTTTAAAGGTCGCTGGCGGTATTTTGCAATGGACTAGTACCCCATTCACAGGAAAAAATAACAACACTCCTAGTTGTGTCATGCTACCATAGGTGACATTTTCAAACAATAGCGATCTACACAGTGTTGTTATCCATACCTCCAGTGAAGACTTGTCATAAACGTTGGTATCTGACACATTCAGAGATACAATTTTCTTCACATCTGATTATTCAAAAATTAATAAAATTTTATCAATATATATAATGACTGAATGCAAGTTATAATTATTTTTATTTCCTATATTTCAACGACACTAGTCTGAGAAATATTTTCTTAGTATGGGACTGAAAAAAAGTACCCTTCATTGAAGAGAACTTCATAGAAAACTGCGCAATTATATAGTTTTACCAAACTTAAATTGTTTTAAGACACCTTTCCTGCTGTTCCTTGCTTTTCCTCTGGCAGTTCAAGATATTCCTTTTTCTGGTCTTTTTCAAATTGCACAAATTTGTATAACGAATCTCTTATTGACCCAGCTTGCATGGGATTCTACTAAGCAAATATATTTCACTTCATAAGGTCAAGATCTAAGGGTCATATCGTCTCAGTATTGCTACCTGCTCAGTTAACAAGAGATTGTAAATGTATGGCAGTGGAGTAACCCAGGCACATAACTTACAGTTGTATTAATTTTATCAAGTTGTAGTCTTACCTTGTGTGACAAGGGTCTGAAGAAGGTTTTTGATTTTAATGTAGCTGTTGACGAGGCGCATGATGCAGAGTCTGTCCAGCTGCGATGCCAGGCCAACTGGAAGAGGCAGCTGATTGGCTAGTTCCACAAACTCGTCATTCTGTTGTCCCCTCCTTGATCGCGCTGCATCTCTTGATCTTCTCTTCTTTTGGAATTCACTGTTTAGGGTAAATTTGAAAAAAATTAATTATTTTAAAAATGTTATAATAATATGAATATCAAATATTAAATGGAAATACAAAACTAACACTAATAACCAATCACAAAGAATCCTCACAAAAGCATCCATTACCTAGATACAGGCTGAAACTCCTATTCTCCTGCATTGAATCACAAAGTCAATTTTTGTCCATTTAAGGGGAATTTTTAAGGTAAGTTTGGTGATCCCCCGGATTTCAATAATTATTTTTAGGTTGGTATATCTGCAAAAGTTCACCATGAATACTTCTGCAATTTATTAATAATTAAATATTTCGCATTTTTTTCTAGGATCTGCCATTGTTCAAAAACATCAAGTCTGATAAAACACCCCAACTTTTTGTTTTCTTGTTGATAGTATAGACAGACTTGCTCCAAAAATATATTTTGCCTTGGACAGGTTATTTCCTTAATCATTTGACAGTATAAGTTGCTCCACTTTTGTTGTTGTTGTTTTTTTGTTATCTAAATTATGCCAGTCAGGTTAATGGATATAATTGCTGCAATTTGCAAGAGAAAGCAAATTGAATACCAATCTATTGTTTGATGTCAAATGTTATGATTCCATATGAGTAAATTGAAATGATATTGACTCCTCTCCTGACTTCTGGGCGGCAAATTTCTCATTATTACATATTTGCAATGGTCATGAGATGAAAAGAAAGCACACTTAAACAATCCATCACTTAAAAAGTTCTAAGATGAAAGGTTTCCTTTCGTGAAATTAATACAATGCTATGCAGTACACCATATATTTTTTTCCATGCCCAAATTTTACGCGAAATTACTTTCTTTTGTGCGTGTGATAAATAATATGAAAAATATCAAAATTATACGATTTCGTGCAAACATACAAAGAGGTTCGCTTTCTCGTTTAATTGCCCGTCGGCCATATTTGCCTCCTTTTGATGCAGTACCATATTTGGGGAAATGGGTATTTCACAACGACAATTTGTATTTTCACATTTTGAACAAAAACTGCAATTACAGCGCAGTTGATGATGTTTACACAGTCGAGGTTTGCAAACTAAAAGCCTCATCACACAGACAATTTTCCCTGCCCAGGTTGATAAAATGTCACCACTCACACAGTGTTTGCAACAAACAACCTTTGAAAATTGAAATCTACATCTATTGTATACACACGATGTTTTATAAACTTCACAAAAAGCAAATAATTCCCTCGGTTTCAGCGTAAATTAGGTAACACTTAGGTCTAAATTAGCAAAAATGTATTTAATCAATGAAAAAGTCGCCCCGAATAATCTAACACCTTGCATAAAAGCGATATTGTGAATTGAAAAGTCACAGGTTTCCGACGACCCATACTTCATCACCCGTAATAAAATCTGAACTTTAATCTTGCCGTTCAAGTTCTCCAAAATATAAAACACGATTTACTGTTCTAGAAAACTTAGATGGCGTATTCGAAATACACTAGAAAACCTCAGCTGTGACTGTGTGAAAGAATGAAAGTACCCGTTCCTTCGAACACTCATTAGCGTGCGAAGCTCGAGAGCCCCCTTGGGAAAGAAAGAACGAATTCAGATTTGTCTCACGAAAACATATCTCAAGGACTTTAAAAATCCCTCGAGAATTGCAATTCACAAGCGTTTAATAGCTAATTTTCATTTTAAAGCTATCGTAGAAGAAACGTACCTGGTTTTGAGTGATTTGGTTGCCATTTTCCCTGCTGTTAATGATCTTCTCTTCGATTGATGAGTTGTTCGCTTTGTTGTTTTCTCCTGCTCTGAAAGTCTCCACACAGTCTCGAACCTCTGCCGAGGATTGTGCAAAATACCTTCTTGACTAAAAGGTCTTACAGGATTGAAAACTGACGGGGCAAAACGTCTTCTAAAATCCGTACCCAGGGATAAAAATCGAGGACGATTTCTGCAAAGAAGGAGGAATGGAAAGCATCAACCATTTGCTATATTGGTTTACCATTTCACATCCAAATAACATCCGCTCGCAGAAATGCAATTTTTCTTTTTCTTCGTCAACAGATAACGAGAACACCCACAAACAGACAAAAGGATGTCCAGACACTTACAAAATCTCTCCTCTTTTGAATCTTTTCTTGTGTGTTTGACGAGAGCTCGATTGCTTGATTGCGTGATAGTTTTGGAAGCGAGACGACTTTGCATCGCGGTCTTGAAAACGCTGAAACGTGCTTAGCATATTTTATAATAAATTATCATAACAAATTCTATTGTATCCGGGTCAAAGTTGTTTTACATTGCCATTTCAAAAACATTTGCGGTATTTACTTCCATTTAAGTCGGACGAGGCAAATTTATTTATCGTTTAAACGCAACTCATGCAGAATAAGCATTAAAATGTTGCGATAATGCGGAATATTTTATTTTTTTCCCTTAGTTTTGTAAATACAACACTCTCGGAAACCATTTGTCAGTTGACCTGGATGATCATCTAGATTATGACGTCGGTAGGGACCATCGTGTTTTTAGCCTCTGCATATGTAAATATGAATAATATCCGCCTATTTGCATATTTTAACGTGCGCAGAAATTTCGCGATAAAATCTGTGTCCATCGCCGGACCGGGAGCTTTTGTTGTAGGACGTAGCCCAAAACGTCTTTCAATTTCAATTTAAGACAGTTTTATTGCGTTGCTTGAAAGTAAAATTAACGTCACTGACCGTCCGTATCTTATCCTCGAGAACTATCGCGCATTTTAGTGTTTACTGTTGTTTATTTCACGGCTGGGTGTTTTGACGTTTAGCGCACAGCTGTTGACCACTCAGCGCTCTCTGCGTGGGCGTAGTCAAATTGTTGTCGATGACGTCAAATGAAATTCTTTACGGTCGCGAGACGTTTTCAAAGTCAAGGGCACAGCGCGCGGCGGTACAAAGCGGTCTCAACAGCCCAAACTTGGCCCTGCAGGCGAGAGGGGTAATAAAATATTAAGATTCCAGCGCGTTTCCGTTTATTTCATGTTAAAAACCTGTTTAATTAATTTTGAAAAGCCTCGTGCCGCCATTGGCAATATTTCCGCGCGATATCAAATCCGAATTGAAAAATAATTACAGTGCAGAACTTACTGGGAGCTTTTTCAGTAATCAGCAAGCTTTTCGTTTTAATTTGTATACTTTGAGGAAGACGTTGATACGAGACCTCTTCAAACGCTCTCAGCGCTTATCAGTTCCCTTTCAGAAATTCCATCACGTGCGACGTTTCTGCAGTCACGTGAGTCACGTGCAGGATTTTGTTCATGTTCTGCTGGGGTGGGGTTGGGGGGTGAGAAGCAAGATGTTTTGTCATCTTTAAAGAGACAGCCAACACTAATGCTTATTTATTTGACTGCAAAACCTCGGTGTTTACTTTTAAACGTTTGAGTTGAAACATTACTGGAGGACGCGACGAGAGGACTTGTTTGCAGTACTAGTGTTTAAAATTTTTGCGGAGAAATTTCGATACTTTTAAGCCAATAACCGCTAAAAATATCTTGAGGATGTAACCGTGACGAGAAGTGTGAATAATTCAGTTTTTTCATAGTCTAACATCGTGGCTCGAATTTCAATAGTCAAGACTATTTTATTGACAGTAACCACCGATTCTCTGAGAGGAGGGAAAGAATTAAGTCAACCACATACAGTAATTGATGGCCCCATTCATTAGCGAGGAACTTATAATTAAATGAAAACAGCCAAAGTCAGTCATGTTATTGTAATCAACATCCGGAACAGCAGTCCGATCCAGTTTATATTAACACAGTATGCAAAGCTAAAGAGCTCAAAAGGACTGGCCCTTGAAAACCGACAATTGCAGAACGGTCACTAACGTGGAAGAAAATTAAAGAATAATTATGATGATATATTTTTATTGTTTTAAAAAGTCTATTTCCGAGTTTTTTTTTTTTTTTACGCGTAGCTTTGAAACTGGTAAACTTCATTGAACTTACCAATTCCTGGAACCGATAGGGACTGGTAATGATATGAAGTCGTGAAGCCATGCACGTTGTCAATTTATACTGATTATGCTAATTTATGCGTCTGTTGACGGCAATTTGAGGTGAACGTTAGGTGAACGAGATAAAGCCGATTTTTCGCAGAATGCGAGCAATTCACAAGCCGTTCAACGAGTATGGCAAGTGACGAAGCGAAGATGAGATTGTTCAGTTGAGCGCTATGCTTTGGGCTTCCTTCGCAGATCCTTCTTTACCACAGCCCTGGGTGTAAAAAATAAGAACAATAAAGAAGAAATTACACGCCCTTTACGTGAACAAAACTTAAACTTCTTTCCTCGCTAGCTGTTGTACGATCCCAATGTCGGTGGGCATGTGTAACAATTAAAACAAAGTCTTTTCCAGTTTTCGTTTCTCGTCTTTTTCGACGCGTCTTTATTGAAATTGCGCAATCAGCGAGTGCTATTTAAAACAGTTAGGTCACGATATACAAAAAAAGATTTATTACATAATTAATGAGTTAACTGTAAGTCTGATAGATACCTACACATCGAAGGGAACCTGAAAATAATAGTTTTATACTAAGGTAGAAAAAGAGCCATGAGGTTAGGATTGGAAAAGATTAAGACGGATTACGAGCGAGGAACTAGAAAAACTTTAGGTAAATGTTTTCTAATGTGCTGTACGTGACGGTCGCGACGAAGATAACGTGTCAAGAAATTCTAGTCATTCTAGCGCATTGATCCCTTAATCCATGCACCAAGGTTAATGGAGTTATCAGTATTTTAATTACAAATAAAAGATTATAAATGAATTCTATCAGAGTCGAGCAGGGACTTAGGCTAACATTTGACAAGAAACGGGGACTGCGTGTTTGGTATTTTTATGCTGAAATATGGGCATTTAGTACTTTCTTGGTTACTTGATTAGTCAGTAGGCATGTACTTGATTAATCCTTTGCTCTGTTCGCTGTTCAGTGGTGTTCTTATCTGGGATACGTTCACCACTAACCGCTCTCCTTTCCTCTTCTCTCTTCGCCTTCCCCCCTTCCCCATTTTCAACCAGCTGACCAGGTCTCCGGTCAACCGCGATAAAGCTAAAAACATGATACGCAAAGTACGTTTTCTTCTAAGGAATAAAATCATTGAGGTGAATATTCCTTTTAGGCCCCATCTACACTACGCCGGAGACATTTTCGAATATTTGAAAACGCAGCTTTATTTCTATGGTTAGGCCTACCGTCCACACTAATCCGTCACGAAAACGGAACTTTCCGAAAACGCTCTTCAAACCGGAGGAATTTGAAAACGTCGGCTTCGCGTTTTAGTGCGGACGGAATCATACTTTGAGAACGGAACGGAGCTTTTTAAAAACGATGAGGTCTCGATAAACTTTTGATTTCCCTGACCAAGTTTTCCGTGAACACAAATCCAAAATGATTGGGCAGCTGACCGGTGACTGTTGAGTTTTCAAATTTCCTCGTCGTTCTGCGAATGGGACTTAGGAAGCTATAAAAATGGAGTATTCATTTCCAGCCAAGCATTCCCATGTATGGCAAAGCTCTAAAGGCCGGTCCCTCACTAGCAACGCAAGCATTAACATAAGCATTGGCATAAAAGAAGCTTATGCTCTTGTGAGGACTGAGGACGGCTGCGACATAAGCACAAGCATAAGCTAGAATAACCAAACCTTGCGTTCTTGTTATGCTTATGCTCTTGTCGCTGTTAATTGTGTCCAGTGGAGACTTGTTAGCATAAATATGAGCATAAGCGAAAGACTTTCAGCCAATCAGCCAGCACTTAATGTTTATGCCAACCGTGTCCTCACTAAACATAAGCATTAGAAGCATAAGCATAAGACAAACGCTTATGCTTATGCTTATGTCGTAGTCATTCCCACTAGCGCAGAAGCTTCTTATGTATGCTTAACCTGCTTGCGTTACAAGTGAGGACAAGGCTGATACTGGAAAATAAGAAATTAGCACGCCTTTCGTTGAGATATCGTTTCGCCCATCAGCTCCATGCTGTTGCTTCGTTTACCACCGTAAAATACGCCTCGTGCGATTTTGTTATTATTAGACATCATTAAAACATGTGATTTCTTCACCATTCTTTTCATATACCAACTTTACGTCATTTATAACTCCTGGTTTATTTTTCTTCTATTTCGAAGCTGGACACTTTTAAGACTCTGGGTACTGCAAAGAGGTCAAATCCCAACTTATCTGGTTAGCGATAACACATAATATTTATCGCTCAAAATTATTTCAAAAAAATGTGTGTCTTCTCTGCAAATCCTTATTTCTCTGCCCAGCTATTCTAATTTAAGCTCCTTAAATTAGTTCTGGTCATGTCTTAGATAGTGACGGATGGAAACTGCGTTGTTGTGACCAAGATTCAACGGAAATTTCATTTCTAGAAAACGTATTCTCTCCGTGTAGTAATAGTTTCCAACCAGAATAATTGCAACTTTCTGTCTCGATACGTATCAACATCGTAGATTTTTCTGGAGCGCGTGATTTTGTGTTTGGCACGTGAAAATATCGCGTGTACACCTGAGACGTAATACTTAACCTTATGATACAGTTGTGAACCAGCACGTGTCAGTAACAAGTCACTAGATATTAAAATCGGATGACAGTTTCTTACCTCTTTTAAGCTGTTCCATCTGTACCTACGGTCGCCATAAAAGTGTTCTTGACCATAGAATTTTCTTTATTCAATCTTTCCGCAAACACGATCTTGAAATACAGTAGCAATTTAATTCTGTCGTGCAGCCCTCTAGTATTTTCTTTCAAAAATTTCGTAAAATTACATGATTAGAGACGATATTTGTCTTTCTCACACCCAGCGACCCTTGACCCTTTCGGGAATTGAAATGAAACATATGAATGGGATTTTTGGTTTTTTAAAATCCTTGCGTTGAAACCTTTCACACTTGGCGTCGAAATGTCTAAGACAGTTGTCAACACGTCCATCTACCTTGCCGATTAATTAACCATTTGGAATCCGATTCGTTGAATTTTTGTAGTAATAACAGCATGTTCGGAGTGCAAAAGATAGCTAAGCACGTACAGTTTCCACTGAACGCAGAGAGAGCTTGAGTGATACCTTCTGCAAGATGTGACGTTCTTTTCTAAATCGGAGTCTGAGCTTCGCGAAAACTTTTGATCAACCGCGGTCCCCGTTTAGATATAAATTTACTCTGATCCGACCCTGAAAACAACGTTAAATTTTCCAATTTCTAATTACAGTGGAATCCCGACTTCT